AAATTCAGAAATTATCCAAGCTTATCTAGTACTGTAACATATATAATAAAATATTTCCCAACCAACTTAGAGCTAAAACACACACACACACACACAGTCTTGTAGGTAGCCTAGGTTGGTCTGGAAGTGTCTATACAGCTTGGTCTAGCCTCAGACTTACTTCCTCAGCCCCCTAAACGCTACAGTTGCAGGCATGCACAGGCAATTCTGGATATAGCTAGGGTTTTGTTACTTCCATTCCCACCTCCTTGCTATTCCTGCGATCACAGACAGCACTTCTGGGCCCATGGCCTCATCTGAGGAGGCTGCCATTTTTGTTTTCAGCAGTTGTGCATACTTTGAAGACCGTAAGGGAAGAAGACAGACAGTCTCCTGCATCCAGTCAGACACTCCCTGTCACTCTCCCTTCATTGTGCGTTGCACTGCTCCCTTCACTTTGAAGAGCTCAAGCCTGGGTCCGAGCGGATCTCAGTTCTCACAGGGCCTGTCTGCCTTTTCCTTCCTGCTTTTGCTATGGAAGGATGTGCTTGCTGGCCACGGGGTCCCATATTTGCAGGGCCGGGTACAGCTCTGTGGCAAAGGCTTGCCTAGCACATAGGAGAGTCTGGCTCCCAGCTCAGCACCCACTTCTCCAGAGAAACAGCCAAACGAAGGAGCACTTGACGCTCTTTTCCTACTCAGTCCTGAGCACTTGGAATGTGCTGCTCCACCGTCGTCTGAGCTTCTGATAGAAAGCCAGTGGTTTGGATTATTATCCCCATGTGCAATGTGCCACCCTGTTCTGCTTAATATTTTCCAGTTCTTTTCTCTTTGTTCTCGCTAGTAGATAATGACAATTATCCTGTTTCCAGAGCACTGGCTCCTTCCTCCAGCCTCTCTTTTTGCTGAAGTTCATCACCGTTTTTTACTTTCTAAGCATCCTACTTTCAGTTGTAAATGCCACTGTTTTGTCTCTTATCATCTGTTCTCTGCTTCTGAGAACTCCCTGTTTTTCTCTCACTTCCTCTATCTCCCCCTCCCATCCCCTCCCTTCCCCCTCCCCTCTTTTCCTCTCTCCTCCCCTCCCCCTCCCCTCCCCTTCCCTTCCCTTCTTATTTGAGGATTGAACCTAGCAAACATCTGAACATGTTGGGCAAACACTCTTCCCTGATCTCTAGCCCAGATCTATTTCTATTGTGAGGTAAGTTGCTTGGGCTGTCCTTGAACTCACTCTAACCCAGGGAGGCCTTGTATTGAATTTGCAATTTCCTTGCGTCAGCCTTCTGAGTGCTGAGATTGCAGGCCTGAACTCCAAGACCTAATTTCCCCTTTTATTCATTTCAGACGTGTCTCTCTCTCTCTCTCCCTACCATACAGAGTGTAGTGACATTAGCGTCCGTAGTCTCTGTGTGCTAGTGTGCTAATCCCTACAGCTGTATCAACAGTGACGGGGGTCTGTTGACTCTCCCTCCCCATGAGAATTGCACACACACACACACACACACACACACACACACACACACAGACAGAGAGTTGGTGCTTTATCCACTCAGGGTCCTGAAACAATCCTTATGTTCAAATTTGGTTTTATTGTGGGAACCACCCCAGTCAGTTTCAGGCTGCCTGCTCCAGCTGACCCAGGAGGGGTGGTGGTGACAAAGCCTCTCCTTTTTTCATGTCTATGCTGGATGCTCTGAGGCTGTTCTAGAGAGCAGACAAAGACTATTGGCTGAGGGAGCGGAAGACTCGCCCACCACACCGTATCTTAAAGACTATTGGCTGAGGGGGCGGAAGGAGCTCCCACAGCAGGCTACGTCACTTGGGGATTTGCTCGGAAATGTGGGTGGAGTCGGTACTCTAACCGCAAATCTCCAAGCTCTTGGAATGTTGCTTTGGGTTTTCCATGCCAGTGACACTCAAGGCTATGGGAGCCCACAAGTGACGCAGTTTCTATGTGGAGCCCATTCTGACTTAGAAGTCATTTGAGTTCAAGCTTGCTTATTCCGATCTCCTTAAGAGCTGGGAGGATGTTCAGGTGAAGCCCATGGGAAAGAACACATTATTTGCTAAGCTGCAAGCTGTTGAATGCCAGCCAAAGGCACGTCCAGATAGTAAATGGAACTACTTGCTGCTTGCCTCCAGAGGCACGTGGTAGGTCGCGAGCCTGCCTGCTCCTCGTCTCAAGGACAGTGCTTGAAGTGGTTAACTCACTGCGCTCTTTGTTCTGGTTTTTGCGGTTAGTCTGTGTATAAGGCCGGGCGGTGGTGGCGCATGCCTTTAAACCCAGCACTCGGGAGGCAGAGGCAGGCGAATCTCTGTGAGTTCGAGACCAGCCTGGTCTACAAGAGCTAATTCCAGGACAGGCTCCAAAAGCATAAAGAAACCCTGTCTCGAAAAACCAAAAAAAAAAAAAAAAAAAAAAAAAAAAGAAGGCTCTGAAGTAACTAGATGCTGTTTGGCATTGCCGACTCTGTCCTGTCTCTTTTGTTTTCTCAGTCCTTGCGTCTCCCTTTGGGTGTCCTAGCTGACTCTTGGCTCTGACACAAGGCAAGCTTAGGATGTGGTAGACACACACACAGGCATTTCCTTCTCCAGTTGTTCAACTTGACCCCACCAGCTCTTCTCCGGAACCTCTTTTCCTGGTTCCTCATGCCAGAGCCACCAAACCTCTCAGGCTTTAAAACCACAATCCTGCTACAAAGTCCTGCTACAAGCCTGGCAGGGCCCAGCCCTCAAGCAAAGCCATAAAAGAGAACAGAGTGTGGACTTTGATTCTGTATTTTCCAATGCATAAGGCCCCCCTTCTTTTCCCTTCATGTGGAAAGGTGGGACTTTCATGGGGATCTCAGCTGTCCAAGCTGATGCTTTCTTGCTCCACCCTCAGCTCAAGCAAGGCCTTGAGTGTGTGTGTGTGTGTGTGTGTGTGTGTGTGTATGTAGGGGAATAAAATAAACACTTGGCCACTTTCTGAAGCTTTGCCTTCGGCCACAATCGGCCTCTTTTTGTTTACTTTTCAAAATACCCAAATGGATATTTTTTAATTCATCCAGAGTGCTATATTTTATTTTATTCTCTTTTAAAATTTCCTAAGCATCGAGGATTGGACACCAGGCCTTTCTTGTTCAAAGATCACACTTTGCCCCAGTTCTGTCCTCAGCCCCGGGGCTTGCTTTCCATAGGACCCCTCTGGCGGCTCTTGGCGCACAGACTGAAGGAAGGCAGAAGTAAGGACCAGTTAGAAGTTGCCAGGGCAGGAGAGAGCAGTTTGAGTGTCAGTACCATGCAGGGAAGTGGTGACGGCTGAGCACTAAGCTAAGATTTTCCAAGGGAGTGACTATGGGACTGGGAGAGAGAGAAAGAAGCTAAAGATGTCTGTGAAGATTTGGGCACAGCCAGCCGAAGAGTGCTGCCGGCCACTAGTGCCACATTGCCTGGTGCTGCAGGCACCTGATGCTGTAGATCCTGTGCCTCCCCTGCAGGAACCGGGCCCAGGAGAAACTGGACAAGAGCCTTTGAGGGAGCAAAGGCAAGGGACGCGCCACATTCCTGCGGTCCAGTAGTGTTCATGACACGCCCACCACAAAGTAATGTCATGTCAGGCAGCGCAAATGAAAAGGGCCAACATGAAGTTTTGAAGAGAAGCTAGTTCGAGGTCAGTTTGGAGCAGAGGTAATGAATTGGTCACTGACGGTGGGTGGTTGTTGGTCTGGCTGAGAGAGGCACCAAGGCCTCATGGGGGCAGCGTCCATGCTGCTGCAGCTGAGGACTGTGACTCAGTAGAGATGAGGCAGACATGCATGGGCCCTGGAGCAGAGGGCAGGGGACTGGTAAGATTGTCTGAGCAGGGTGACAGGCAGGTGTCCAGGCTGCTGGCTGGGTCAGGGAAGACAGGATGTGTGAAGAAACTAGGTGTATGCCTGCCTTAGAAGAAGATGGTGCTGAGTGTGGCCGCTGCCTGGGCCCTCACCGCTGTGCCAGGTGCTGCCTGGGACCCTGCTTGTGGACTCCTGCCCTCCACTTGCTGCTGTATCTTGACCTCTAGTAACATTCTACCTGGCTCCGGGCAGGCCCCCCTACCTGCCATGCTATCCACAGTCTCTAGTCTTTTGCACATACTGTGGCCTAGATTGGCACCCGTTGCCCCATTTAGATGGTTCATTCACCATCCTTTGCATCTCTGCTGGGTACCACATCCTTTAGGAAACCTGCACTGCCCGTGTCTGTGCTGGTCTCTCCTCTATGCACTGTGACGTCCGTTTTGGTCTCAGCTCAGCTTTTAACCTCCCAAGGCCCAGTTACGTATCTACCCTTCTCTGAAGACTAGACAGGAAGCTCCTTGAGAGCAAGGCCAACATTCTATTATCAGGCATCACGGCAGGCGTCACGGCAGGTGGGTGCAGTTGAGGGAAGGGCTGGGAGTGGGAGGTATGTGAATAGATTCTGTGGAACCAGAATGTCATGTTAAGGAGCTTCAGCTACTTCCAGAAGGCAATGGGAAGCCACTGAAGGCTTTAAACAATGGGGCTATGACCAGTTTTCTGTGTGAGAAGGACTTCTCTAGTAGCCTTGTGCTGAGTAAGTTGGATGGAGACATGAGTGAGGACAGAGAGACGAGGCTACCACTGCGGTGATCTCAGAGGGCTTGGTGGTGGGCTGGGAGCTGCAGAAAAGAGGAGGAGTCAGCATGGTCAGGAAGAGGTCATGCTGACCCACAGAAGAGTGGATGGGCTGGCACTTGTTTTCAGAACCTCGAATCCTTGTCACCTCTGCCCTACAGAACTGTGAGACCCTCCCTGGGAGGCTTAAACCTTTTCTTTCCATGGGTCCAGGACACCAGCCCTTGCTGTGGTCACTCTCTCCTTAGAGTGAACTAGTGGGTTCCCGTAGGCCACCTCCTCGGTGTGATCCGGATGAACAGGCAGAATCCTCATGAAGTTAGCTTGGCAAGTTTATTGAAAACCCAGGAACACAGAAAGTAGTACAAACAGGCACCCACCCACCCCCAGCCACCCCTCCTGGGGTTTGCAGGAAAATCCTGCTGCAGCAACAGGACAGAGTTGGGCCTCCTATCACCACAGGACAAGACACCCAGAGCTGAGAAGCCTCCTCTCCTTATGCATTCCACCTACTCGGCAGACTCACGTATCACAGATCAATCGGCAGCCATGAGACAGCAGGCACAGATGAGCCACTGGGAGGAGAACCACTGTGGAGACTTAGGGATCCCTGTGGTCTCCAAGGACTGTGTCCTTTGGGGCCAGGGAAGGGAAAGAGAAGCCTGTTCTGCCAAGGAAGGGGAGACAAGGGAACAAGAAGTGGCTAAGGACGCCTGTAGGCCCCAGGGCTTTGTGCTCATGCTTCTCTGGATGGTCCCTTTCTCCCGCGTGTACCACTTCCTGGAATAGTGCTGAAAATACATTTACTGTGGCTGAAGCCTGAAGGTGATCCAAAGAAAAGACACTGGGAGTTCAGGTGAAGCTAGTGCCACTGGGGCTGTGGATGTGTGTCTATACAATAAAAAGTCCTTCAAGAGGACATGGCTAGGGCTATGTACTGGCAGGAAGAGTGGCTGGGGATCCCTCAGGACCAGAGTCTATGCACCTCAGGGGACAGAAGCAAGGGCGGCTTGGCTGGTTCTTCTCCAGGCTGTGGTCATCTTAGTACCTGGTCCTGCGAGAGCTAGTGGTGGATGAGAAGCGGACACTAGAGCTGCGGTTGCCGCGGCCACCACTGCAGCTGCTGAAGCCACCCTCAGTGGGTAGTGGGCAGGGGATGCTGGGGGCACAGGCATCGCCCACCAGCACTGAGCCTCCTCTGGTCCCAGAGATCAGCAGGTCCCCACCAGCCCTCAGGCTTGAGGAAGTCAGAACCCCTCCAGTGGTACGGATGCTACTGCTGCTGGAGAAGGTGACCCCACCATTGCGGGAGAAGCTGGATCCAGAGACCAAGGACTCGGGGCCACACAGCACACCTCCTCGAGAGCTGCTCACAGCTGCAGAGAAGGAAAGGAAGCGGTGCAATCCAGAACTCATGAGCCGCTTGTCTGGTGGCTCAGAGACTAAGTCTACATGCAGATGGAAGGGGGAGGATGCTTCTCGAACCCTGGGTATTTGCCTCTGCCCACAGATAGACTGCCATTAATGTCTACAAACTACTATTTGTCTGTGTCCATGTCAGGTGGATTTGAGAGGCCAAGTGAGATGTGTCACCCAGGGATCAGTGACCTTCGTAGAACCACAGGGTGGCTTCTCTTTGGTTATATTGTAACTCTTGCTTGTTTCCATGTATCGAACAGACAAGAAATGCTGCCAGCACCTTGTCCTAGCCAGCCATCTCTGCCCCACTGATGACTCTGCTCTGCAGCCCCGCTGGGCTCCACTGGACACAGCCAATAACTCAGGACTGGAATCCAGCTAAGCCTTGCTTAAAGCAGCCCTGAGTGTAAGCTTGACATTCTCTTCTCTGCTTTTGCACCAGAGTCCTTGCCGTCTCTGTGACCTCTGGGTTTGACCTTCTGCAGAAGAGCATTGCTGCCCCCTTGCCTCCCAGCAAATCAGGGCTCTTCTCTGAGAGTAAATCTGGTGTACTCAGCCTGCCCCACCTCCACGGGTGTCCTTCCAAGATTAGCGTGGCACTGGCTAGTACTACCCTTCTCAAGAAGACTGGAGTTCCACAGCGTGGGGGCTCTCCCTGCTCTGCAGTGCCAGCGCATAGCACGCTTGCTGTGGGACCTGCCCATGCTCTATTTAGAAGCAGCAGGGGGCTGGAGGAGGGGGACCACTTCCATTTATTGTTACCCCATCCCTGCAATCCAAATGTGAGTTTCTTCTTTGACACAGCCTCCACATTCCGTTTGGGTCTCTGTGATGGGTGCAAACACAGCCACTGAAAGTCACAAGTCTCTTTCCAGGAACCTTCTCCCACTTCGAAGGCCCATAAACCACTTTTATTCTTTGTTCTAGAGCCTCTGCGGAGGACAGAGACCCCATGGTCTGCGCCCCTGACTGTCTTGGCCAGTCAAGCTATCTTAGGAGCTTCCTTAAGAAATGGTCTGAGAAAAGGCTAGATACTTACATATGTTTACTGGTCCAACACCTTCACAGATCCTGGAGAGAGAAAGAAATGAATGAATTCACATGTTTTCTGTCGGAGGGCTTCTTGTTTGGGTAGACAGGGACAGGTGAGTCTCACCAGCAACTCTTAGAGCAATTTTGGAACATACCATGTCTCTAGAGATTGCCTCTAAATTGTTGAACTAAACTATTCAGCGAATTATTATTATATTTTAACCAATTAATCAGCCAGGTAAAATGCCTATGGCCTGGTGCAGCTGTCTTGTAAACGCATTTATAAGCACGGCCCCTTCGGATCCTGTGTCAGAGGCAATCGGCTAACATTTTTGGAAAATGTATTGTTCTATCTAGAGACTGCTCATTCCAGGTTTTGTCACCTGGCTCCCTCCCCTTATTTTGATAACCTTTCTGGACACCTGACTTTATTCACTCCTTCCTGCTCTTACCGGATCTCCTCGCCCTCCAGCAGCTGCCTGTAGGTGGCGATCTCTATGTCCAGGCCCAGCTTGGCGTTCATGAGCTCCTGGTATTCCCGCAGCTGCCGAGCCATGTCCTGCTTAGCCTGCTGCAGGGCGCCCTCCAGATCTGCCAGCTTGCACTTGGCGTCATTGAGGGCCGCTTCGCCCTGCTGCTCTGCCTCGGCCACGGCGGCCTCCAGCTTGGTACACTGCGGGGAAGGGAGTCTGCATGTGGGCTTTGCTAGGGAGGCAGGGTGCCCCCAGTGGGCTTGGCAATGCTGCCCTTACTGATAGGGGTGAAACCTACAGCCAGGCCTGGATTGGAGCTCTAGGTGGCTGCTTTTCCAGGGATGGGGACTGTGGTCAGCAAGGGGTGGAGTATTGCTTTTCTCCGCTTTCCATCCCCTCTGGGTTTCTGCTGCCTTGAGACAGACCTAAGGATTCCAGTCTTCTGTTCTTTCTACCTCCCTTACCAGGCCTTCCTTCTGGTCCATGTATCTCTTTTCTTGGAAGTTTTTCTGGACAGCCCTCTGGTTTGTGTCTAGGTCTTGATGGGTCCTTTACCTACTAGACTTGGGGCTTTTCAAAGCCAAGGACCCCGACTTTCCTCCCTCTGTAGCTTTTCTTTCTAACCTGAGCCTTGGAATGTTCAATCTCTGCTTTCAGCCTCTGGATCAGCCGGGTCAGCTCATTGATCTCATCCCGTGTGTTTCGTAGATTGTCACAGTGTTGGCCAGCTGTCACCCGCATCTCCTCATACTAGGGGCAGAATGCGGTGTTTAGACAACTTGAAGTCTGGATTGAAGACCTTAGACGACAGTCATCACCCCAGGGCACCTGTCCCCCTCCTCCAGTCTCCTATTGCCTTGGTCTGGTACCTTGGACTGGTACCAGGCTTCAACATCAGCGCGGCTGCGCCTTGCCACCTCCTCATACTGGGCCTTGACTTCAGCTATGATCCCGTCCAGGTTCAGGTCCCGACTGTTGTCCATCTTTACAATGACAGATGTCTCTGAGATGTGTGACTGCAGCAGCTGGATTTCCTGTATTGGAGAAGCAGCAAGACAGAGGGACTCAGTGGTCCATTAGCAGCTGGGACTCTGTCCCAATGTCCCTTGTGAATCAGAAACAGGGAGCTTTGCTTCTTGCTTTATGACATTGCAAGGCCTACCCCCATCCAGCTTGAGACTCAGAAAAAAGGCATGCTTGAGAAGCAATTGAGTCTGATTTTAGAACCCTTGTCATATTCTTAGAGCATACCTCTGGGTACTTGCTCTGGCTTAGGTGACTATCAAAACCAGGGGTACCTCAGGTGACCAGTGACGGCTGCTTAAATTCACGTTATCTACCCACATGGTGGCTAGGCTGGTCAGGGTCCATTGAGAGGGAGCAACATTTTAAAACACAGTGGAACCTAGATTTTTAGATCCAGAATCTTCAGAGAACCAGAGTCTCCATCCTGCTGAGACCTTCCCCTGCAGCTCTGGCTGATTCCTCTTCAGCCTACACAGGCCGCGTGGAAACAAATGGCAGTGGTTTGGCTAGTCAAATCAGATTCATGTCTCTTCTTCTGGCAACTCATTTTGCCAGACTTTCCAAAACCCATCCTTTAGCTTGGCCTATGAAGATCTGGATGACAGGTGACAGGAGGCCATTGTCAGGCCTAACATGGCCGTGGAGATGCCTTGTGAAGTCCCTGACCTTCCTCATGCCCCAGACAGGGTGACAGAGAGCACACAGGTCTGTGTAGGAGTGGAACTAGATGTAGAAAACCAGCACTCGGAAACCCAAAGGCCTGACTCAGCCTCCAGGGCGAGCAGCCTGAGCAGTCTCATGCTTGAGTGCCTAGAGAAGACGAGTCTCACCTCCAGGTACAGAGCCTTCAGGAATTCAAGTTCCTGGGCCAGGGCATCCGCATTGGCTTCCAGATTCGATTTATTCAGGAAAGCTGTGTCTACATCCTGCGTGAAAAGGAAGGATGAGATCACTGCCTCTGTTATTCACCCTTCCCACCTAGAGGTCCAGAGCTCGGCAGGAGGAGCCATCCATTCCTACTGTGATGGTCCCTCTTCCCCTATAGCCATGTGGAAACCCACTTAAAAGCAAAGAAAGGGGCCGTAGAGATGACTCAGGAAATGAGAGCTTGCTGTGGAACCTGAAGACCTGAGTTCAATCCTTGGGTCCCACATGGTAGAAGAAGAGAATCAACCCTCCCAAGCTGTCCACACATGCACCATGGAGTACACGTGCCCTTCCTGTGCACACCGAATAAACAGATTTTTAATTACCAAGAAAGCCTTGGTAATTCAAGAAACTTAAGAGTCCATCTTTTTCAAACTCACAGCACCCAAACTCAATAATCTGTGGTCCAATCAAAACTTTGAAGGGAACTGGATTTGATCTTTGGATCAAATGTTGTTTGGATGAGCAGTTTCAGCCATGGTAGGGCTGTCTGAGAAGTTGCTGGGGCTGGGGTTGGGATTCTGGAGAACACGTGACTCCACACAGAACTTCCCATGGACTCTTTGCTGTGCCTTACCTTCTTCAGAGCTACAAACTCGTTCTCAGCGTTGGCTCGGCATCCCACCTCCTCTTCATACCTGGGAGCATGGGGGAGAGGGTAAGCCCTCACCCGCATTACTCCTAAGCCCTCACTAATCCCTCAACATGATCCTGGTTTATTGAGGAACATGGTTCTCCATTGCTACTCACAGTGTAGCATCTGTCAGTCCTCTCTTTAGAACTTTCTCTAAGCTAGTGGCCCTCCAAATCCTTTACTTTCTCAACTTGGATTTAGGGTCTGAAAATCTGGACCTTCCTACAAGTCTCTGTGAGAAACAACTCAGGCATTGCAGCTGAACGCCGAGGAGGTAGATCCTGACACAGTGCTAAGTGTGGGGGCTTCTTTAAAAGCAAAAGACCTTCTTTCCAGAGTAGATTTAGTCATTCCTCCAGGCAGTGCTAAGAACACCTCCCACCCTATGCTTCTGTTTCTTCCGCACAGAGGACCTCCTTGTCTCACTTCTCACACCACTGTCCTTGCATCCAGAAGCTTGGTTTTCTAGCCAATAACAATCCTATCTCATCTGCACTGGGCTTCTGCTTCTGGAAATACAGTGCCCAGGTGTGGGCAGCCCAGGTATACTCACTTCTTCTTGAAACCCTCAAGGATGTCCTGTATGTGGTTCCTCTCAGCCTGCAGCCGAGCCTGGTCACTGACTAGTACATCCAGCTGCCTCCTCAGGCTGGTGATATAGTTATCGAAGAGAGGTTCCAGGTTGCTGCGGGCACATTTCTGGTCTTGGAGGAAGCTCCATTTTGTCTCTAGGAGTTTATTCTGTTGTTCCAGGAACCTCACCTACATCCAAGAAGCAAAGGCAACACATTAAAGGGCTTGATAGTGCACCTGTGTAGGCCAGTTCTCCAGATGGCCAGTGAAGACTGTCGTGTATTATCAGTGTTCCTCCTTCTGATGGCTTTCCTTGTGCCTCTAACTCATCAGAAGCCAGGAGGACAGGTATATGACCCTCTCCTCAAACACAGCTACACTTTGCTACAAAGACATTTCAGTACCACTTCTCCCCTCCACACCTAAGCAAAGTGTCAGGCAGTCATGAGGAAGCTCGAAAAATGAGCTCCAGCTGGGCTTGCCTGTATCTGAGACCAGAATCGGCCAACCCCAGCAGAGTACACGGAGCAGCGACTACATTGGGGGGTCATTGTGCTAGAGAAATTGGCTACCTGGGACCATACACCTTGACCAGCATTTCCAATATTCTATCGCTGAGCTCTTTGGCTCCAAGGCAAAATGAGCTCACAGAGGTTCTTTCCTGCCTCTAGAGACCAAGCCTTGTCTCCATGCACACACAGTCAACTGGGTTTCTGCTGTTGTAAAATTCACATCATTGTTTCTGTATATCAGCTATTGATGGCCATCTGTAGTTCCCTCAATCTCAAACAGATTGTGGTAGCCTATGTTGGGTGCATGGATTCTTTGCCTTTTACATGAAGATCACTCCAGTCCATTCTCCACTCTCCCGAGGCTAACTGGATGAGACCATATGCCTTAGGAACTATAAAAACTCCCTTCAGAACACCGTGATCTTAAAGGATAAAATATTTCACACAGAAGCCAATCGATCACCTGACTGAAGCCTCCACCTTTGTAGGAGACATTTCCAAGTAACCAAGAAATAGGGCTTGGTTTGCCCATATCCCCGTAGGTTTGGCTGGACCATCTTCCTTTTCTCCAGAATCTGTGGCCAGCGTCTTAGTCTGTCTCATCATGCAACTGTTCCTCTGGTTTGTCTATTCTTAGTGAAGAACAATCTAAAGCCACCAATCCCTCAATGCCTTTGGCAGATGCCTTAGGCAAAAAGCAATGGCTCAGACCAGGGCCAGCTCTTTTGAAGGGGAAGAGTACCCTGGCACCCTTAACTCTCAGTGCTTATCCCAGGGGTCATCCAGCAAGGTACCTTGTCAATGAAGGAGGCAAACTTGTTGTTAAGGGTTTTGATCTGTTCCTTCTCATCTCTCTTCACCCTCTGGGCATTGGGGTCGATCTCCAGATTGAGGGGAGTCAGCAGGCTCTGGTTAACAGTCACAGCTGTGATAGAGGGGGCCGATGGGCCTCCAATTCCTCCAATTCTGTAGCCAAAGCCAGGGCCGCCGAAACCATAGCCAAGGCCACTGCCAGCTCCAAACCCCAGGCCGACACCACTGCTGGCCCTGAAGCCCAGACCAACTCCACTCCCATCACCGGAGCCAACTCCAAAGGCAACTCCACAGCGGATAGGACGAGAGCACCCAACTGCGATCCGAGGTGAGGATGATCCAAAGTGGATGGCACTCCGACTACCAAAGCCACCGAAACCACGGAAGCCGGACCCACTCCTGCAGGAGACAGAGCTAGTCCGGAAGCGGTTCAGATTCGGAGGGGCCATTGCTGAGCAAGAACTGAAACTGCCCACCCGATGACCAGAGCTGACTCGGTAGGAGCGGCAAGACATGGAGGGCGGCTTAGTGAGTGACAGCTGAGGAGCGATATGCAGTGGGGTGAGCTGGAGCTGAGCGTCTCTGTGAGGCTAGTGGATCGCTCTCACCCCTTTTATGTGTGTGTGGACATGAGGATTGGCCTCATAAAAACAAAAAAAGCCATTTAAAAGCATTTATGAGCTTGGGTGGTTAGCAGAAACTCTTGTCTATAACGTCCTTCACAGTGAACTAATTCAGGCACACCTAGTCTCATCAGGATGCGGGCTGGAGCAGGTAGCCTATAAATATTAAAAACATATAAACACATAAACATTATAGTCTTATTTTCCCTATAAGTCCACCACAATTGCCATTATGGAGATATTAATTTGCCTTGCGCGTAAATACAAAGGCCCCCCGCCCAAGTGTGGCTAACCACCAGAGAGTCAGAATGTCAACAGTTCCAGGCAGAGGTTCTGGAGGAATGTGGGTATCCAGTGCGAATTCTCCAAGGCAGGAGGGGTGTGCATAGGAGACACGGTATCGGTATGCACACCTCGAGGAGGAGATCCTACAGAGAGAAGAGAGCTCCTGCACCCGTGCGGAGAGACTCAGTGCTCAGAAGGCCCTGGCAGGGCTCTCCCTTTACGGCCTGGCTGTGCGGAGAGAATCAGTACTCAGAAGGCCCTGGCAGGGTTCTCCCTTCACGGCCTGGCTGTTGTAGAACAGACCTCACTGGGGCCGGTGTGGACACATTCCTGATTTAAGACTCTCAAAGGACATTTCTTCTTCAGTCTCTGCTCTGTCCCTGGCAGCATGTGTAGAGTTATCCACATGGCTTGGAGCCTCCACCTTTAAGCCCCTCCAGGCATATCCTGGAGCTGAGTTACAGACCTATCCTCACAGGTTCCTTGAATCATTCATAATTTTTTGGTTGGGTTACAGAAACAAAGCAGAAAGGACCTGGATAAGCCAGTGGAGTTGATCACAGCTGGCAATATTACAGATATTCAGGACTCCAAGCTCCAGCTCACGTTTTACATTGCAGTGCCTGGCCTTGCTTTATGCTTGGGGGAAACATGTGCTTAAATGATTGGGATATCTATCTATCTATCTATCTATCTATCTATCTATCTATCTATCTATCTATCTATCTATAGTATATATATGTATATGTGTATATATGTGTTTGTGCGTGTGTGTGTATGTTTGTGTGTGTGCGTGTGTGTACACCAAATCATATCAGTGTTTTTCTGTCAGCTGTTAGTATAAAGGAGGAGAAGGAAAATAAAAAGAACAGGAGAATACTTCTAGTAAGGCTCACCAGCAGCTTCTATTGCGGCCTCCATGGTCTCCCTCACTCCCCTTTATCTTCCAAACACAGCCTTCTCTCCATTCCAGACACTGTATTCTCCAACTCCTTTTGAGTCTTCTTAGCCAGTCATGTGTCCAAGCTTTACATACCCAGTGTCCCCGGGTCAGTCTCTGACTGTTTCTCCTCTTCGCCCGTGATCACCCCTTGGTGACATCACACAGACTCAGGGCTTTAAATACTCTGCCTGTCAGTGAGCACCAACGCATGCCTGTACCTCACACTGCCCCACACGCTGTGTCCTCTTGAAGATTTATTTTATTTTTAGTATGTGCCTGTGTGTGTGTGTGTGTGTAAGGCATGTGCACGAGAGTTCAGGTGCCCATGAAGGCCAGAAGAGGATGTTGGATCGCTTGGAGCTGGAGTTAGAGCGGGTTGTGAGCTCAGTATAGGAGCTAGGAATGGAGTGTGAGTCCTCTGGAAGAACCACTGGGCCATCCCCAAGCATATATATTAATCAATAGCTCCAATTAGATATCAAACAGGCACCTCAAGCAATGCATCCCAAGCTTCCCCTAGTTCTTTTTACTTCATATTTCTTATTATCCAGTCTCACTGTCTACAGAGCCCATGTGATAAGCTTGGAACCACATCCTGTTTCATCCTCCATCTACACCTACCTTCAGCAGACCTGTACCCCACGTGCTTACAGCCCACGGGGCTGTGCCAGCCAGGGTCCATTGTTTGCTCCTCAGTGGATCTCCTGACTCACATTCCTGGGATGTTTCTGGCTTTTGACCCTGTTCCTTCAGACCATTCTTAACACCACAGTCTAGGAGTCCTTCAAAGACCCTACTTAACATGCCATAGCTTTGCTGAGGACCTTGAGAGCCAGTGCCTCTCTGGAGGGACTCTGAGATCCCCTTGCCAACACTTTTGCCCCCGCTGCCTCATTGCTTTTTGCCCAGCCCCCTGCTTTCCCACCGCTCAGGAGGGACTTCCCTGCTGCAGACATTTATCCCTTCCTGTTTCTCTTTGTTCGATTTCAAGACAGGGTTTCTCTGTGTATCTCTGGCCATCCTGGAACTCACTTCGTAGACCAGGCTGGCCTTGAACTCAGAGATCTGCCTGCCTCGGCCTCCTCCAGAGTTCTGGGACTAATAAGCATGAGCTACCACGTTTGAGCTTTTGTGTGCTGTTTTACCCTGCGGCTGTCTGTCCTCTCAGAGCTCAATCAACTCTTTCAGGTCTTTATCCACAGGCCACTTTCTCACCTGCTGTTGGAGTCCCCTCCCCTCCTCCCCTGCTTCCTCCTTCCTAAGAACTCCTTACCACCTGAGGTGCTCTCCGCATCAGCTTGGCTGCCATAGTCTGTCTGCTGTATTCTCTGTCAGGAGAGCTAGCTCTAGGAAGCAACACTACCATGTGTTTCCCGCACTGGATGCTGGGGGGCGGGGGGCATAGGTAGACATGCTGCTGGGTTTTGTTGAATCAATGAATGCATCTCAAGAGTTAAACGTAGAAAGACAAAGCAGACAGAGAAAGGATAGATGGGCATTCGGGCATTTGGCTCTGTGGTCTTTTTTAGGCAGAGGAGCCTCCCGGCATCAGCGTGGGAAGATATGGCCCTGGAGACGGTGGGGGTACAGAAATGTGGGGGCTCACAGGATGGAGCCAGATCTTTGTCCAGCTTTCATTCTTGGAGTTTGTGTCCACCTGCTTGGAGGAAAGGGGATCCGCATGTCTCGAAGACTAGCAGTCACAGGAGAATGGGAAGGAGACAAGAGAACCCCACTGGAGCTGGACAGGTAGCAGGAAGGACAGAGGAAGGAAGGCTTGAGTCAGCTGGTGGAGTCGAGTGGACTGGCTAACACCACTCTCCCCACTCACAGCAGTGTGGCCGTGCACAGGGTGCTCTGGACAGGTAGGTATGGTAACAGCAGTGCTATACACAGAGAGCTTAGAAACAAGGACATTACCCATTAGAAACCACGGCCTCAACACTAACACACCCTAGCCATTCTAAATAGTGTAGCAGTCAAATATCACCCTGGTACGTGGTGTGCCTGTGACTTTCAGGGGCCTGGTTAGCCTGTCCGAGTCCAGTTTCCTCATACTTGTTCTTGGTGTCTGCCCTCTGACCCAATCCTCCCTCTACTTCTGATGAGCCCCCACCCTGGCTTCTGTACTGTACCCCAATTTCCCATGGCAAGATGCTCATCACCCCATTAGGCATTCCTGGGGTTCCTGAGAGGGAAAGGTGGGAGTGAGTGACTGGGGCCAGTCAAGCACAACCCTGTCACCATCAGCACTTTAGAGTTCTGAGACATCATTTCGCCACATGATGCATAACACAGTCCTGAGTGGTGTTCTCGGGAGAGGTGGGTGGAGGCAGGAGGAGAAGTCGCCCTGACAGCTCTCTCCGGGCTGGAGGTTTTGCTGCTGAGACAGTTTCTTTTGTCAGGAAGCCTGGGTGTAATCCCAGAGACCTGCCTCTGCTCAGCAGTGTGACCGAGCTTTGATTGCTGGGTCATCATGATACTATCTGAGGCATGGGAGGAGAGGGGAATCCCCTCCTAGCTAGCCAGGCAAGGTCCAGGAACCCTGGGTAGGCCTGCCTTTGTATGCAGGTGTGTGTGGGAAGGGCAGGAGGGGAAAGCCCAGATGCCAAGGAGGCTTTGCTCAACTCCACCTTCTTCAAAGTGCTTCCTCTTTGCCTGGGCATGAGTTTGTGCTAGCATCAGGTTCTGGCCGGGAGATTCTCATGTTGAGACCTGCTCTAGCCCGGAAAGCCAGCTCCAGAGTCATGCCCCCTCCCCCAACCCCCGAAAGTGGCTGGGTGGGGTGGGGGTAGAAGCCCATTGTCCAGCACCTTCTTGTCTATGCCCTCTCAGACTGAGGACCCAAAGGTACCCTAGAGGAGGAAAAGTGACCCCTTTTAATTTGGTGACACCCCTACCCACCAGAGGGATATGTTTTTCAGGTTGGATTCAAATTTCTTGCCTATTCAATGTAAGCTCCTCATAGTGGAAATGTTGCTCCTCTCAGGTAGTGTGTGCACTGACACCTGCTAGCTCCGTTCTGGTGACCCAGCTTCCCTTCCTCTGCTCAGTGTCTGTGCCTCTCCTCTCCTCTCCTCTCCTCTCCTCTCCTCTCCTCTCCTCTCCTCTCCTCTCCTCTCCCCTCCCCTCCCTTTTCTCCCCTCCTTTCCCCTCCCCTCTTTTCCCCTCCCCTCTCTTCCCCTCTCTTTTCTCCTCTCCCCTACTCTCCTTTCCAACCTCCCCTTCTCTCCCCTCTCTTCCCCTTTCCTCTCTTCTCTTCTCCTCTTCCCTTCCCATTCTCTTTCCTCCCTTTCTTTCCCTTCCTCATCCTTTCACTTTACTTCCCCTCCCCTCCCCTATTTTTCTCCCCCTCTCTTTCCATCCCCTCTCCGCCCTTCTCTTCTATCCCTCTCCCTCCCCCATTCTGTACTGGGGATTGAACACAGGGCCTTGCGTATGTTAGGCAAGTACTCTATCACTGCGCTCTGTTCCCACTCCCCATTCCATTCTGGTATCCAGGCTGGCCTAGAACGACCTGTACTCCATGTGAACCCTGACTCTGTGATCCTCCTGACACAGCCTCCAGGGTCATATTGCCATTTCTGAAGCCATTGTCTCAACCCAAGCTCCTGGGCTTCCTTCTGTATTCTCGGTAACCCTAGCTGAAGAGATTCAGCAGCAAGAGAGCCTGGGGCCACAGAGGTGATGGCATGAGGAAGGGCCATTGGGTTAGGAGCAGAGGATTCTGGGAACAAGCTCATGGAGCAGGACAGGGAGAGGAACACAGTCTTATGAGACTCTCAGGAAGACAGACACAAGGGTATCTCCCATCCTTCTCACTAGTCTGCCTTTACTGGGACCTTCAATGAGGAACTAGGATTCCTGCCACCCAGCAGGACTGGTGATCCCTCTTGTTTCCCAGCACCCAGGGGTGCTGCACAGATGGGAGGTGTCCCCAGTAGTGTGGAATGAGAACTACCAGGTCACCACCAGGGGGCACTTTATGCCTGCTCTGAGTCACCTCCCACAGTGGAAGGGAGAATGGGTTACTGTAAGACAACAGGAAGTGCCTGATTGCTGAAATCAGGAGATGTGCTGAGTCTCTGAGATGCGACCAGGTCTGAGTCAGGTGCGCACAGCGGGCTGTCCTTGCTGGGGAGCTCCTTCTCCAGCAAGCAGGTCTGATCCAGGTGTCCACAGAGGGTTGTGCTTGCTGGGGAGCCCCTAGGAACCCCATTGACCTAGAACCGGAGTCTCAAAGGGGCTGGTTGCTGACCCCAGGCCAGCCCTTTTCCCAGAGTCCTGGCTTAGTAGCCAGCAGGGCGCTCGACAGGCACAGGGACAGGGGCACAGATGGAGGCTCTGCCTCAGTATGTGAAGGGCGAGCCCCAGACCCACTGCCTGAGTCTCCCACCAGGGTTCTCTCCCCTCACAATCCTGCAGGGCTCTGAGGCTCCGGGTTGCCTGCCACCTGCTCCTCTCCCCGGAAAGCTTTGGGTCCTGTTGACTAAAGTGAGACCTTCAGTTCCGTGCCCCCCACCATCCTAGCTCAGCCACCCCAGCTGTATTCAGTGCTTCAGGTCTGCGCGCTCATGAAACTGCCCTCTATTGCACCAACATTCAACACGCAGCACCGTGCACACAGCGCTATGCTTGTTTAAGGGGATATGACAGTGTTTCTGTCTAGTCATAGGCGTTTGCAGTTGTCCTCACTGATATGGAACACTTTCAGCACAACAGAAAGAACCTTTTAGCTACTTCCCTGGTTCCTAGCGTACTCTCTGGCCGGCTGCACATAACAACTGCCCTCCGCCTTTTATCTCCATGGATTTCTCTATTCCATTGCATGCTTCAAGATTTGCCCATGTTGTAGCATGCATTAGCACCATATTCCTTTTCAAGGATAAAGTCATATTACACTGGCTGGCTGGGTCACTGCATTTTGCTTATTTGTTGATGGATGTTTGAGTTGTTTATGTTTGAGTTGTTTCCAAATGTTGGTTATTCTGAACATTGCAACAATTTGTGTGTGCGTGTTTTGTGTAGATATAGGCATTAATTTTTCTTGGTATGTACCTAGGAGTGGACTGACTTTCAGCACAGTCGCTAGCTCATCTTGAGCCTTATTTAGGGCTCTATAGTTTGGCCCAGAGTTCTTGGGAACTAACAGGGCCTCTTCATCACCCCAATAACATGGTCCTCTAGCTTACAGCTCTGCACAGGACAGGTGTGGCTGTGGGAAGGAGGCAAGAGTGACAGAGGGACAGAAAGCTCCTGAGGAGGGGGTGAACTCGGATCAACACGGCCAGCAGGGAAGAGTACTAGGGACTCATGGAGCATGGAACAGCTAGCATCCAGTCATCCAGTCTGCTTTCCAGGTCCTGAGCCTCTCTAAAGGAGGAGAAGTGAGGAAGAGTCCTGATCCTCTTCCAGTGCAGCTGTCACTCATTTCCAAAGCTTTCCACAGGTGGGAGCTGCCAAGATAGTGGAAAGGTGCAGAGGGAGAAGAACCAAGGGCTCGGGAGATGCTAAGCTTGACTGATGGGCCCCTGAGGGTCTCCCCTAGATTGTGTTGTGGATCCATGAAATGGGGGGGGGCTATGTGCATTGCGTGTGTTGCTCGTAACATGGAAAGGGTCTTGCAAGTGTGTGATGTACAGGTTTTAGGCATGAATTGCATGGTGTCTTATTTATTCCGCAGGGCACCTGCATATCTTGTATATGGGGTTTTCCTACGAGTGCAATACATTTGTTTCTGTTCCTAAACTGCAATTCTTGAAGGCTGCTCATGAGTCCCCTCAGCAGTATCATAACTTGTACCAAGCAGGAGACATTTTGATTCCTAGAGTGTGAACAGAGTCAGTTTATTGGGAACAGTCAGCTCAGAGTGTCCTCAAAGATTGAACTCCAGGTGGGCAGGCTTTGTAGGTCAGCCTGGCACCTCCTCTCTCTCAGACCCTGAACAAGTCACCAAATGACTGGGGCAGCTACATGGCACCGTATGGGTGAACCAGATTCCTATTTGACTCAAGGCTCAACGCTAGAGGTACTAAATGAGAGGGAGCAGGAAGCAGTGGCTATGTACAGAGGTGGACAGGGCTGGGGCTTGGGTCCTTAGCCAAGGCTAGCTCTTCACTGTCTGAGAAGCATCTATGCACATGCTGTCAGCCTTGTTCTGAGCACGTCTCACCATCAACTGCCAATGAGAGCTACATAGATTTTTCAGTTTGAGTCTAACATACTACTCAAAGTTCATTCTTGAGCCTCAGGACTGGGAAGACACCAGCAACGTCCAGTGGTCCAAGAACTCTAATTCTGGACCTTGGTTTTGGAATTCAGAATAGGATTTGGGGAATCTCCTTTTGATTTTCTTTTATAATAGTGCATGCTTCAGGTGGGTGCTGTAAGTTAAATTTTCTTAGGTCTTTGAAAGCCGGAGAGAAGGGAGATAGGGAGGCTTGGGTAGGGGGTGGGCAGGGTAGGGCTGCCTGTGTGAGGAAAGTAGCTGGGAGCCTTCTACAGAATAAGCTGTAATGTGCCCAACTAGCCATCTCACCTGGGGAGAAGTGGTTAGACTATTGTTGTTCTCTTGACCATTGCAACTTCAGGTGACGGGGAGGGGGGATGCACCCTCTCACTGCTCCCCACCCGTGCTGGGTCCAGCTTGGGGTCTGCACCCAGATATCTGAAATGTAGCTTCGAAGATTAGAGTGGAGGTGAGCGTGGCTCAGCTCCCAAGACTATTCCAGGGCAATGTGAAGTTGGTGTGGGAGGGGAGGATTTGGGAGATTCTAGTCTTCAGCCCTGTGGAGGTGTGATGTCCAGGGTTTACAGACCGAGGCAGTGCTAACACTAACGACCACATGAGTTGCTACCTGCCCCCATCTTCGTGCTGGAGTTCCGCCCACTTCCGCAGCCCATGATCCCTTGCGGTTCACAGGGGATGTAGAGTTCGCCGGTGCCCACCACGCTGCAGCCGCCATTGCTCCTGAGGAAACCCATGGTCCCTGTGCTGTACTCAGTCCTCAGCATGGGTGTGCCCACCACACATGGCTCATAGAGAACGGCACCCTTGGAGCTGCTGACCGCTGTGGGGACAGGAAGGCATGCTCAGGGCCCACCCTGGATTATCCAGTCAGAACTATGATCCTCCCAGCATTGCTACGGCCTCCCACGACAGCCATTTCAGCAGCCAACTTCCCTGTCTCCAGATCCGATCACATCCAGTGCTTGAAGCCCCCCATCCATTCACCCTTCTTTCCCAGGAGCCTGTTGGAGCCAGGCCTAATGCCTGATTCCCCTCAGAGTCTCCTCGCTCCTTTTGCCTCTCGTGCTGACCCTGAGGCTAACCCTCCAGCAAAGCGTCCTCTCGTGGAGGTGGTGACCTGGGCTGGGATGGCCCTGCTGGGTTTTCCTCCACTTGCCCAGGATACATGGCAGGCAAGCTCTTCCCGTGGGGGTGTGAGAGGCTCCAGAGGGCAGGGTGGAAGTGATGGGCTTCTACCTCACTTAATCAAATACCCAGACCCAGAATCCAGGTTGTATGACTCAGCTACTTACATATGTTCACAGGCCCAACACCTTCACACAGCCTAGAGAACAAAGGAAAGAAAGAAGTCAGGCACTGCCTTAAAGAGAATGCTCCGCTCTGTTCATCCCCCACTGTGTAGAGGAGGTGCGATGGCGGTCCCTGCTTTGTTTTCCTAGATTGTGGGTTGGCAACAGCAGCAGCCACCCTGGGGAGGCAGGATAACAACCACCCTGATGCCCATCCTCCCCTCCGCTCACCTGTGCTCCTCGCCATCCAGCAGGCGCCTGTAGGTGGCGATCTCAATGTCCAGGCCCAGCTTGGAGTTCATCACCTCCTGGTACTCCTTGAGCAGGCAGGCCATGTCCTGCTTCGCCTTCTGAAGGGCTTCCTCCAGCCCTGCCAGCTTGCACTTGGCATCACTGAGGGCCGCCTCTCCCTGCTGCTCTGCCTGGGCAATGGCTCCCTCAAGTTTGCAGCGCTGGGGAGAGGGCACAGGAAGGTGTCACTGGCCTTAGATGGGCAGAGGAACACATGGCTAGAACTGCAGGCCCTAGGATTGTACATCTGGCCCATCCTGGGAAAAAGGCTCTCCCTCTTGGGAGATCTGGGATTTCCTGCAGCTAAGGGTGGGTAGGAGTGGGGCTGTGGCTAGAGATTTTAGTGCCTGGCTGTTTTTCACTAGCCTAGGAGAACTGAGTAGGTCTAATTTTATGAACACCTTAGTCATGTTGGAGGTTAGGATCCCAGGGCTAGAGTCTGGGTTTGAAATCTATTTCCACACTACTGCTGACGGCAGGCCAGCCGACTCTGTGGTCTGTCCGTGCTGTGGGTAGGCAGTTGCAGAGAAGGGCTTGCCTCCTATGAAACAAGGTGACTTGGGCTTGTCTCTCTTCAGCCCTGCCCACAAGCAATGTTTGTCCCGCCCTGCAGGGCCCAGCAGGCAAGGGGGCCTCTAGAGGCTTCCCCCAGCCTCAGGGTTCTGGTCACCTGGCCTTTGACTGTTTCAATGTCCTGCTGCAGCCGCTGGATCAGCTTGTTCATCTCTAGGATCTCGTTCTTGCGGTTGCGTAGGTTGTCACAGTGGTTCCCAGCTGTCAGTCTCAGCTCCTCATACTGCCGGGACAGAGAGGTGAGACCCCAGGCCCTCGCTGTGGCGTCTCTTAGTCCTTTCCTCACTGTTCCCAGCTTCTTCTCCATGCCCACACGTATCCCATACCCATCTTGCTTTCCATTCCTTTTCTGGTTCTCTCACCAGTGTTGAGGCCACTTCTTATTCACGCAGCCCCAAATCTCTGTCCCTTAAGCTCCCAGATCCCTTCTTTTGTATCTGGTCCCTTTTCCTCTGCCCCAGAGCCTGAGCTTTCCTGAGAGCTATTTCCATTTTCTCTGCCCCAAACCCTGAGCTTTGCTGAGGGCTATTTCCATTTTCTCTGTCTGTCCCAAACCCTGAGTTTTTCTGAGGCTTCTTTCCATTTTCCATGTCCCTCTGGACATTGAAAGGATTGTATGTTCAGCCTAGAGTTGAATAGTCGAAATAAAATGTTGTGTCTTGCTTTGGCTAACAACAAACAAACAAACAAGCAAGCAAGCAAATGAACCCCAATAACAACAACAACAACAAAAACCAGAAATCAGACTCAAGGTGAAACACATTCTTTAAGGTTAGCTGCCCTTCTCCTGCTTTCTGCTTCTGGGCATCACGTGTTCTCCAAGAACAGGTCAGGTGTCCACGCTCCTGCTTTTCCAGATGCCATCTCCTGCCCCTCTTGACAGCTGTTTGTCCTTGGAAACTACTGAGTGTTCCCACGGGGCTGGCTGTCGCTGGTCCTGTCTTTCCTTCAGACAGGGACAGCCTGGTATCACCTCTTCCCCCACTACCCTATTTAAAGCTACATTCCACACACTCCTGTGTGTCATCCTCCTACCCACTCATGGCTATGTTGAGTGTCACCACCTGACAGACACTCTGGTGCTCTGTCCTGTTTATTGCTGGCCCTTGACCCTGCCTCTAAGAAGGAAAATGACAGGAAGGCAGGTCTGAGGGCCACGCCAGTCCCTGCTGTATCAGGCAGGCCTGAGGGCCACCCCAATCCCTGTTGTATCAGGCAGGCCTGAGGGCCACCACCCCAATCCCTGTTGTATCAGGCAGGCCTGAGGGCCACCACCCCAATCCCTGTTGTATCAGGCAGGCCTGAGGGCCACCACCCCAATCCCTGTTGTATCAGGCAGGCCTGAGGGCCACCACCCCAATCCCTGTTGTATCAGGCAGGCCTGAGGGCCACCACCCCAATCCCTGTTGTATCAGGCAGGCCTGAGGGCCACCACCCCAATCCCTGTTGTATCAGGCAGGCCTGAGGGCCACCACACCAGTCCCTGCTGTATCTGCAGCTCTGTGCTCGGCCCATGAGAAGCGCTCTGTGCAGTTGCTGAGATGGGCTGTATTACAGACAAGCATTGAGGACGAGATGACAGGATTGCAAATCCAGCTGCCCAGGAGCTCTCCTTACCCTCCCAGCAAGCCCCTAATTACTGAGTCTGGGACACTCTTAATCACCATTTCTGTACCACCAGTAACACCCAGGCCAGTGGCCTCCGCCTACACTGCGAAGCTCGGGACCTTCTCTGCCATCAACACCAATTATACTGATTGCATGCTGCTTAGAGGGCCACTCTAGAGTCTACATACAGACAGAGCTGGGGACCTGGCACCCTAGTGACAGGGCTGGCCTGTCTGTGGGGTCCCTCTGTTCTACAAACACCTGACCTGGCAGAACAGAGCTTGTGTCTATGGGGTTCTTTGGTGCTGTGGAGTGGCCCAGACTTGTTAAATCTTTAGCTGTTCCTGGGGCGCAGAGCACTGGGACCCTCTCTTCTGCTTCTCCCCTTTCCCCGCTTTGGCCTCCTCCTCTGCCCGCCCTGATGCCTCTCCCCAGCCCTGCCCCCTCTGCACCCAGCCTCACCCGGCATTGGTACCAGGCCTCTGCCTCTGCTTTGCTGCGACTGGCGATGTCATCGTACTGGGCCTTGATCTCAGCTATGATGCCGTCCACATCCAGGTCTCGGCTGTTGTCCATCTTCACGATGACTGAGGTCTCAGAGATCTGGGACTGCAGCAAGCTGATCTCCTGAGGAGGCCAGGCAGGAATGAGCACTCGGGGTCCAGCCATGACAGGAGCCTGCTTGGGCTTCCTGAGACTTGTACCTTTTCTTCCTGGCCCACAGTTCCATGTCTGCTCTTTGTCCTTGTCCCCCTTTGTCCCCGTGGTGACCCAGAATTTTTCCAGGGGCAAACTGACAACCACCGATATAGATAATATGACTTTGGGGAGTCTCAATCCCTGAGTTCCTGAGATGTCCCTTTAGAACTTGCCTTGGCACTCCTGCCCACCCGGTCCCTCTGGAACTGGTCTGATACGTCACCCAGAAGACCAAGTGACAGACAGTACCTCCTCAAACAGGGCTTTTAGGAACTCAATCTCGTGTTCGAGAGCCTCCAAGTTGGTTTCTAGGTCAGCCTTCACCAGGAAGGCCGTGTCCACATCCTGTAACACAGTGGAAGAGCCATGACCTGGGTCAGTGTGTGCACAGTCATGCCCCAACATCAAGCGGCCCCTAGGCAAGCTGATGGCAGGGGCAGCTTTGGGCCCAGGGCTCTTCTCCGACCCAGGTGGAGGCAAAGGAAGATGGCACCAAGGGTAGGAGGAAAGGCCTGGACCTGACCCCCAGGGAGGATGTGTGGAAACCTGATCAATCTCTGTTTCTATGCAGGCAGGGCTGCATGGGGTGGGTGTGGCAAGAGCAGGGCCAGGGGCTCCCCAGAGCTCCACTGCAGAGGGGTCTAGAGACGCTGAGTTTCAGCGGAGGAGCTGGGCAGTTGGCTCTCTGCCTGGGTTTGAATCAGTGTTTGTCTTCTTACTTGGCATTAGCCACGTGGGCAGACAGTCGCTTGTGCAGGCAGATGCCCTGATGTTCCCCAGCTCTGACCCGTGTGAACTGGGGGAGGACGTGTGGTGACCAGGTCAGTCCCTGTTTCCATGCAGGTGGAGCTGATCTAGGGCTGGTGTCCAGGACCTTTGCTCCCCTAAGCACCACCTCACCTTCTTCAAGGTGACAAACTCATTCTCAGCACAGGGGCGCAGCGACAGTTCCTCTTCGTACCTATAAGAGCGGGGCATTGCTTTGGTAAAGCCTCTGAGGGGGTGAGGGCTCTGGCTGTGCCTGTGTCTCTCTGGAGACAGACACTTGTCACTGGAGCATCTCATAGTTATCTTTCCCACTGCCGCCTGCATCTGTGATGGCTAACCCCTGGGGTCCTCAAGGCTACTTCACTCTCTTGCTGTGGAATAATTCCCCTTATCTAACCATTTCCTTTGGAATGGGAGAAAGGTCACACCACTGCATGTCATCTTCCTCAAGCTGCTCCGAGGTAGCTGTTATTCTAGGGAGATTCCCAGCTGACCCTGTGCCTCTTCCTTGCCTGCAGGGTAAGTCTGGCCCCCACCTGAAGCCCAGTGGTAGAGGTAGCAATTACCTACTTACCAGAGCACAGAAACAGCTTAGGTGCACCCCCCATTCCCTGGGGGCTCCTCGGCCCACACACTGTACCCAAGGCAGAGGGAAAGGAAACTGGGGTTCAGTGGCTAGTGACTGATGAACAGTGTCAGTCCGTGGAGATGTCCTGTGTTCCTGACGCCCATCTCTCTTTGGTCCAGTGGAGCTCTGCCCAGCTTCCACAAGGAGCTCTGGAGCTACTGCCCACGTTCAAATCCTCACTCAGTCACACTAGACATAACCAAACTGGGCAGATGATGGCTTCTGTGGGCCTGATTTTTCACGTGGGTATTCCCAGCAGAACAGGGTAACCCAGGCCTGCCTCAAAGGGCCCTTGTGAGTTGGTGACACCAATGATATCTTATGACAAAGCACTGGCTAGGTCAAGTGTTGTATAAGTTTGCTGTTGAAGTTGGGGTGCCAGAAGGACCTCATATTTAAACCCCAAAATCTCATTTTTAGCTGCAAACCAGCCTAAGCTTGCCTGGCCATGTACTTCTCAAAAGGCTTTGCCCCTCTATGCCTGGTTTCCGCCCACTCCCACAACCACCTGTCTGTCATCTGCTCCTCCTCTTCAGTTTTTAAAGTCCCTCTGGCTTCTATGTTAATTAATTAAAAGATTTTTTTTGAGACAGTGTTACTCTGTAACCCTTGAACTCAGGCTGGCCTAGAACTCAACGATCCTCCTGCCTTAGTCTCCTGAGTGCTGGTACCAGGCTTTAGGTCTCTTTTAGAAGAAGGAGCCTACTGGAAGAAAACTTATCCGTCAAGGTCATGGTCTAATGGTACCTCCTCCAGATGCTTCCTACGCCCCTGTACCCATCCCTTCTCTCTTCCGATAGTCTTCATGGTACCCATGCAAACTGAGTGTAAAGGTTGCCAGTGCTGTGAGGTAGGGTTGGCATCACTTCCCAGCTCAGTTCCTATCACCAAGAAGGCCCATGGGTCACACTTAACAGTCCCGGATCCACTCCATTGGCACATCCCTTGTCTAGATTTTTTGTACTATTTCTCCTCAGGGGAACACTTTCTCCTATCCCAAGCCCCATGTATTCCTATGAGGCTCTGAGCAGACCCACCCAAAACCTTCCAGGAGACAAGTTCTCTGATCCTCCTACCAGCTGGTATTTTCCTTGCCTGCCAGCCTATTCCTTAACATCAGCCATGTACTGCACACCAAGAGGGAGTCTCAGAGTCTGTCATGTGGAGAGTGGATGGGATGGGACAGCTAACAGAAACCCACAGTCCTCTAGGGGAGGACAGGGAAGTCAGAAGTCAGGAGAGAGAAAACATGAGCTTTGATGACTGGATGGGAGTCAGGGAAATCCTGAGAAGAGGCTCGTCAAATGGAGGGAAGAGAAGCCAGAAAATCCTGGAGGAAAGGGCCCCAGGGATGGCTAGTTCTCAGTCTGCAGGGGATTGGCGAACAGAATGTAGATAGAAATGTAGCTGCAGAGACTTAAGCTCCATAAGTGGCAGGCGACCCCCGTTCAAGCTGGGCAGAGGGAAGGAAGATGGAGCACAGACACACACCAGGGCTTCGCTGTGGGTAACAATTCGGATGCTCTGGGCTACTTAATTATTCTGCTGCCAAGTTCCCTGTTTTGCAGATGGGGAAACTGAAGTCTGAGCTGTTTCTGCAGCTTTCTCTAGTTTCTTTCTAGGGGCAGGCAGGGACCACTTACTTTTTCTTGTAACCCTCCAGCGCATCCTGGAGGCTGCAGAGCTCAGTCTCCAGTCTCCCATGGTCCCCAGACACACAGTCCAGCTGTCGTCTCAGGGCACAGATGTAGCCCTCAAACAGTGGTTCCATGTTGCTTTGGCAGCTCCTCTGCTGCTGCATAAAGTTCCACTTGGTCTCCAGCAGCTTGTTCTTCTGCTCCAGGAAGCGCACCTGCCCCAAGAATGGGTGTCACCATAAGGAAAAGACCTGGAGACCATGCTTTGTAATCACTGGGACTGTGCAGAGACTGACACCTAAGGAAGCTAGCTTTCTGTCTCCTTTACCTTAGGGACCTTAGCAGACTCTCACCTTCCCCTTGGTGGTCCATGATGGTGTGGAAAGAGTGTTGTCTCACAGGCCTGCGCAGCCCACATGCAGCTCTCTGGCTGGCCATTTAGTAGCTGCATGACCTGGACCATGCCTCTTCCTCTGTGAGCCTCTCCTTGCCGTAAACACACCCACATGAATGCCTGAGTCCACGGTCCCTCAGCACAGGTCAAGGGTTGTGACCTAGCACTGCTGACTTTTTCTGTCTCTGCGGCTTCACTTTATGTGGCTGCATCTGAAGGAAGCCTGGGTTGCAGTAATGTGGGCAGCTGTGGGCCACCTCTTCTAGCTTTGTGGGTTGGAATTAAGATTGGAAGCCCTGAGTGAGTTGCACTGGTCCCTGAGCAGTCCTGGGCACACAGAGCTTGGTCTGCAGTTCTGGTATGGGGTTTCCCATATCGAAGGGCTGCTGCTCTACCCTGGACCAGTGGTCACCTCAGCAGGAGGCTGATAACCTTGCAGAGGCTCCCAGGTGGGGCGTCCCTCTGTGACGTGTTTATAACCAGAACTTAACAGGCTTTAAGAGAAAAACAGGGGGTCAGGAGGTGGTGGCACAAGCCTTTAATTCCAGCTCTTGGGAGGTAGAGACAAGCAGATCTCTGCATTTGAGGCCGGCCTGATCTACAGAGCGAGTTCCAGAACAGGCTCCAAAGGTACAGAGAAACCCTGTCTCCAAAACCAAATTAAAACAAAAAAGAGTAAAACAGGGTTAGTGGATCAGTTCCTTTGATCCTTTTATTCATTTTGTGTGTGTGTGTGTGCGCGCGCGTGCATGCATGTAGATACTCGAGAGCATATACATGTCACGGCATACATGAGGAAGTCATTGGCCAATTTGTGGCAGTCAGTTCTCTCCTTCCTACACATTGCTGCTGGGAATCTAGCTCAGGGTGTCAGGCTAGGCAGCAACTGACTTTACTCTCTTTGGTCCATCCCTGGCCTATGTTTTCTTGGGGGTGGGGTAGACCTAGGGCTTCTGACTTTGACTCAGGCTTCTTTGCCCTAATCCTTGAGGTCTCCAGAAACAACTGCCTAGCCCTAGGCATGGATCCTGACTCCCTAGGGTGTGGGGACAAACCCAGGTGGCCTAGGGGAAGACAGGCCAGCTCAGTACTCCTCGAGGTGATATTCTTCTTGGCATGTCCCTCTGCCTTGTAGCTTTGCAAAGCTTTGGTTTGGGGCCGTCAAGTGCAGGACTTGGGTACCAGTCGCCTTGTGGCCTAAGCTTTGCTTCACCTCAGCGGTGGGGTGGGGGCAGCTTGGATTGGAGGTGGTTATGTACGCAGGTAATCCCAAGTACTTGGGAGATAGAGGCGGGAGGAACACTGCAAGTGTGAATCTAGTCTGGACAGAGAAGCAGGAATTTCCAATGACAAGGAGTCTTGGAATGCCTAAAGACCATGGACAAACGGCCTGTCTCCGGGATGTGCTCGGCAGCAGCTTGCCTCACCCCAACCTGCTGCCCCTACCTTGTTGATGAAGGATGCGAATCGGTTATTGAGGCATTTGATCTGCTCCTTCTCATCCCTCTTCACCCTCTGCACCGTGGGGTCGATCTCCAGCTCCAGGGGGACCAGCAGGCTCTCATTGACAGTGACAGGGGTGATGCACATGGGAGGTCCGCAGGCAGCTCCCGCTCGGTACCCAAAGCCCTGCATGCCACATCTGGAGGCCACGCGTGGCCTCCCAAGGCCCACATTGCACAGGCTCCGAGATCCAAGGCAGCCCAGGGCTCGGAGGCCCCCAGCACCCCCAGGCCGGCAGGGCCCCTTGCTCACTTCATAGTGGGTGACCATCCGGGGCATGATGGCTGAGCACGAGCTGAAACTTCGGCTACCACATCTGGAGCTCAGCTGGAAATTTCGGCATGACATGGCTTGAGAGGCAGAGACGGATCCCTGGAGAGGAGAACGGGGCAGGACTGGCCAAACGGTGGCTCAGCTTTTCCCCTTTTATCTGGTGGGGGCTGTGAGACTGGACTGGTTCAAACCCCTAATCACTACTAAATCAGGTTTATGAGCTTGGGATATTGGCAGCTATTAGGTACACATTGCATAATTAGGGTAGCAATGAGCAAGAAGGAGCCCCAGTGGTCAAAGCTGGGAGGCGGTAGTCCCATAAAAATTCTATTTGTCCTTCTTCCTTGTTTATGGAGTTGATGAAAGGGGCCAACCAGGCACTTATGGATGTCGTATGCAGTGGCTCAGCCTCTGGGAAAGGAGAGAGAAGGGGACTTCCCTGAGGTGGGGGCAGGCCAGATGCTCTCAAGACTGTCAGAGGGTTGTGTCCGTGCCGCGCTCTAGATCCCGCACTCTGTCTGGGATGGGACCCCATTCTCTCTACCCTTCCCATGGTCTTGGCTCCAGAGGACGAAGCCTGGGTTCAGAGCCCTGACCCAGCATGCTGTGTGTTCTTGCCTCCTGTAGATCAGCAGACTGAAATGTAAAACTGTCCTGGGCCTTGGGAATTCATATCTAATTGGGCTGTTTCAAGCTGCCCTCTTAGCTTTGGGTCTGAGAGTGAGGGGTGTAACTAGAGGTCAGGTGACAGTCAGGAGGCAAGTGGTAGAGTGGGATGGGGTGTTCGGACATGGGTGGGGACTTTTCCTGCTGGAAGGCCCAGGAAATGGTGTGAGGGATGATGGTACCGAGAGACCAAACTGATCTGGGCATGGGTAGCGGGCTCAGCCATGAGGATAGGGCTTGCTGGAGCAGTGTGGATGCCACCAAAGCCACAGGCCTTGTACTGTGTCCAACAGATAATGGTCTCAGTAACCATGCTCAGCTCCTGGAACCCCGGGGCTAAGGAGCAGAAGGTAGGATGGTTCATAGTTGTAGTGTGGGAATCACCGGTTCCCAGAGTTGCCGCTTGGTGTAAGGCGCAGTACACTGAGGACGTAGGGTGCTCAAAGGCGTTTTATTGAAGCAGGAAAAAGGCACGCAGAAGAGCAGTGAGCAGCTCAGTTGTTGCGGCTGCTCCTCTAGAGCTGTTAGCTTCCTTTACATACATCACAGCAGCGGATAGCCTAATTGCCTTTGGGGAATATTTTGGTCTTGAACTCATAACAGATATTTGAGGGCCCACAATTCTTCAGATGACGCCACTGTGAAGACCAGCTCCCAAACCTTCCATGCAGCTCCTTTCCTATGTCCCCCACTTCTCCTCTGCTACCTGTGTCCCTGTGCCCCGGAGCAAGAGAAAGCTGCAAAGATCCGCCTTTCTCCTCCAGCTTCCTGTCTGGCTCTGCCCTGAGTGCTTAGAAAGCCAGGACGAGGGATGGATGATCCTCCCAACTCAGAGTCACCTCAGAGGCTGGGAAACACACAATGAAAGGTGACTCTGAGCCACCAAGGTCAAATTCTCATGGAGGACTGAGTAAGAAAAACCCCTTGAGATTGTAGAGCACAAGCAGGTTGAGGAGGACTTCTTGTGACAAGAGGAGGACTTCTGCAACCCCTACTGCTTAGGGGCAAAGGCCTGGCCTAGAACAGTTGGGTCAGTGTGGGTAAGGGAGGACTTTGAGATGAACAATGGGTGGGGTGTCACTGGAAGGCCTGCTTGGAGGCAGAAGATGGACAAGGTGACCTAAAACTCACAGGCCACTTGGTGTCAGTGTCTCTCGCTGGGGATGGTGAGCATAACTAAGCATCAGGCCTTAGCTGGGAGCTGGGGACTGGGAACAGTGGCAAGGCAGGTAGCACGTTAGCTCCTGTAACTCGTCTTGCTGGATGATGTCTTGGAGACAATCCGCATGCTTGAGCTGCTGCCACTCATACTGCGACCGCTGGTGGAGCTAAAACCGCCACTCCCACCGCCACCATAGCAGTGGCCACTGCTACTGTAGCCACCTCTACTGTAATTGCCGCCACTCATGCAGAGGCCGCCACCTCCACTGTAGCCTGTGCCCCCGGAGGAAGAGACCACAGCTGAAAAAAAAGAAGCCACAGGATACATTGTCAGATTGTCAGCTGTCAGTCATCCCTCCACACTCATCTCCAGGCTGCCTCTCTCGCCCAAGAAAGCTCAGATGACTGACAGCTCTCTCTGGAGGCTGCAGGAGGCAGGGTGAGCTCCACCAGGGACTTTGTGACTTTTGAAGCTCCCACAGTTGTGATGGTACTGGCCCCTCAAAGAGATGCCACCATGGCCGTGACCTCCAGGGCAGAGATGAGCAGGTGGAGGTGCAAAGCACTAAGCAGCACTCTCAAGGTCACTCCTGCCTGAGGACAGGTCTTAGGCTCCTAGGATGCATTGTCCCTTTCTTTGTTAGGGCTCCCACACTAGATGGGACACAAGGCCTCAAATTTGGGAAGGGGATTTTGGACTTTATCAGGACAGCTCCAAAGGCCACCTAGATGAGTCTCCCTGCCAAGTACTGGAATCTCCTCAGCTTCATGTCTGGAGCTGCTAGTGTCGTCTCCAATACCTTGGCATCAGTGAACTCAGGCCCATGAGGGGGCAGTGTTCCCAGCCTGTCAAACACTTGAAGCTGTGGCCCTCCCTCCCTCTGGGAGTCTGCTCTTCCTGTGAGACTTTTCCTGACGTTTTCTCTAATGACCACAGGGTCTGGCTTTCCTGACTTGGCTGAGGCCCAGGGGCTCTCATCCCCACGACCATGACTCAGGACTGTCACATCTGCCGAAGACAAGAGATCCCCCCTTCTGGTCTCCTGGATGTCCAGGCAAAGCTGAGATGTTTGCTTTAATTTCTTAGACAATTTGCTTCAATCCTATGTATAGGTCTTTAAGCTGCTCCATGCTTTTGCCAGAGTAGCTGAGGACTGGGGACCCTGGCTTCAAGGGTAGTTCTGTCCTATTCAGGATCCTCTAGGGCTAGGCCAGGCATGCGACCACATTACAACCACCAAGGGGTAAAGGGTCACCTGCAGCATTTGAGGACATTCCCCAGAATGAGAAATAGTGCGCAGACTCCTTTCCCAGGGACAAAGAATGTGAAGCACTCTTAACACCAATAGGGAAAGAAACCAAAAAAAGAAGAGGGGCCAATGTTTGCCTCAGTTGTTCATTTCCAAATCTCAGCGATGTTAGGGCCCCAATGCCGCCTCTCCTCCCCAGCCACTCTTCTGTCTTTCCAAGACATTTACTCACAGATGTTCACAGCACCAACGCCTTCTCCAGTGAGCCTGTGGCAGGTGGGAAGAGAGGGTGTGTCATTGCTGAGGACTTAGAGAGCTCCCAGTCCCTTGTATGTGAAGCCATCAATGCTCAGCACACGCTGTGAGCCCGCCCTGTGTTTAACAAGGCTGACATCCAGCTCATGAGCTCTAGAATCTAGCAAAAATACAGGAGGGGAACCCCAGAGGGAAATAGAGATAGAAACCGGAAGTGAGACCCCATGCCGATGAGCAAAGTGTGGGACATCCCTGAGGCTGGTGCCAAGGGCACTGCGTGTGTTATAAGGCTCAAGTCACAATGCCCCTGCTTAGGAGTTTTGGTCACCTTTGCCTCACAGCCATGCCCCTAGCCCAGGCCCAGAAGCAGCTGTAGGAAGAACCTGTGAAGGAACAGTGAATGACACCTGCATCTGACCTTGACTCTTCTATGCAGGGGCAGGGCGGTCAGTGGTTCACGTGGCCTCTGTAGCATACTATCCTGTTCTGGTAGCATCTGTTTGGGCCATGGTGGGAACTCACCTGCACTCCTCGCCCTCCAGCAGCTTGCGGTAGGTGGCGATCTCGATGTCCAGGGCCAGCTTGACATTCATGAGCTCCTGGTACTCGCGCAGCTGCCGCGCCATGTCCTGCTTGGCCTTCTGCAGGGCCTCCTCCAGCTCTGCCAGCTTGTGCTTGGCATCTTTGAGTGCCAGCTCCCCACGCTGCTCGGCATCAGCGATGGAAGCCTGGAGTGTGGCACACTGCCCACAGGAGAAAGAGCAGCTTGTGACACCGCTCACAGAGGTTAACTTCCCTGAGGTGTGTCAGTGCTGTGGAAGTCAGAGCACTGAGTCTGGGTGTAAGATTGTTATCAGTCCCCATGGATGGTGTAGAGCTTTCTGGGTGAGAAAATGGCTTTCTGAGGTCTTCCTCTGGGTCGAAGGTAAGGATATAAAGCAAGACCAGCTTGGCCTTGTTGTGCTCCAGGGGAAAGGGCTGTCTCAGGCCAGTGCTTCCCCATTCCTTCCCTGACAGACTTCTCTCTGCACAAACTGAGGTAAGCCCCAAGCGCTGTATAGTTTTATGTCAACTTAACACAAGCTAGAATTATCTGAAATGGGGGAACCTCAGTTGAGAGAATGTCTCCGTAAGATCTGGCTGTAGAACATTTTCTTAGTTGTGATTGACGGGGAGGGCTCAGCTCACTGTGGGTGGTGGTCCTGGGTTCTACAAAAAAATCAGGCTGAGAAAGCCATGCGGAGCAAGCCTGTAGGCAGCTCCCCTGTGGAGCTTTTGCTCTGCCTCCAGGTTCCTGCCCTGAGTTCCTGTCTTGACTTTCTTTCATGATGAGCTATAATGTGAAAGCAGAAGCTAAATAAACCCTTTCTTCCCTAAGGTGCTTTGGTCATGGTGTTTCATCACAGCAATAGAAATCCTGACTAGGACAGCACAGATCCAAGTCTTCCTGGATGCAGGGATTTGGATGGGATGGTCTTTGAGATATCAGTCCTACCTGCTTCTTCAGGTTGTCAATCTCAGAACGCAGCCTCTGCATGGCCCTATTCAGCTCAGAGATCTCCATCTTAGTAGTACGGAGGTCATCCCCATGCTGGCCGGCAGACCGCTGCAGCTCCTCATACTGGAGGAAAAAAGTTTTCAGGTGAGGGACAGTCAGGCCCAAGGAGAGAAGGCTGGAGCTTCCCAGAGCCTCCAGGCCTTCAGCGTGCTGCTCAGAGGATCAGGGCTGGAGCTCCCCAGGGCCTCCAGGCCTTCAGGGCACTGCTCAGAGGGTCAGGGCTGGAGCTCCCCAGAGCTTCCAGATCTTCAGAGCGCTGCTCAGAGGGTCAGGGCTGGAGCTCCCCAGAGCCTTCAGGCCTTCGGCACGCTGCTCAGAGGGTCAGGACTGGAGCTCCCCTGGGCCTCCAGACCTTCAGGGCGCTGCTCAGAGGGTCAGGACTGGAGCTCCCCTGGGCCTCCAGACCTTCAGGGCACTGCTCAGAAGGTCCTGTGTTGTTTTACTGTGCCCATCGAGTCCACTCAGTGGCATCAGTTTTTGCTCTGAACTTGCTCTCCTTATCCACACACTGCAGCAGCAGGTGGACAGCTGTGGCCATGCTGTTTCCTCTTTTCCTGCTCCTGGCCTCTCTCTTCCCTATCCCTTCACTCCATGCATCCGACTCTCCCAGACCAGCATATCTCTCTCTCTCTCTCTCTCTCTCTCTCTCTCTCTCTCTCTCTCTCTCTCTTTCTTTCTGATAGAGATCCTCCTTCCATACATTTGTCATGCTACCAGAGCGTACTGTCTCCCTGACTCCCAGAATACAGTGTCTATTCCAACTTGGGAAATGTCATTCTGTTGTCCATACCAAGTCTCTGTCCTCAGAGCCTTGGCCCCAACCAGCTCCAGCTCTCTCTTTTGCATCCTCTGGCCTCATCTAGAAGGCACTAGACCTTCATCTTGACACCGCCCCCTCCGATTGGCATGGTGACTCCAATTGACCACACCCATTTCTCTGATACAGAGCCGTAGAAACTCTGCCTGACTATTCCCCTTGCTCTGATGGTGTTGACCCTAGGTGATGTTCAGAACACATGAAGCTCTCAGTGGAACTCAGACACTTTGGACCCGACTAGGCAGGAACACTGGAGAGGATAGACTTCTATCGTATTTGCTCATAAAGCTTTCAGTCTCTGTGCCTGTTTAATTGGTTGGATCTTGGCACCTCACCTTGGTCTGGTACCAGGACTCAGCCTCTGCCCGACTGCGGTTGGCAATGTCCTCATACTGGGCCTTGACCTCGGCAATGATGCTGTTTAGGTCCAGGCTGCGGTTGTTGTCCATGGAGAGAACCACAGAGGTCTCAGAGATCTGAGCCTGAAGCTGAGCCAGCTCCTGTGAGGAGAGATAAGACAGGGCATTCATGTATGCGCATGCGTGTGTGCACATGTGTACAGATGTGTATATGAGTGCATACATGTGCTTTGGGGTTGGCAACCCCTTGGGACAGGTTCTGGCATGGAGGGTCTTGCACTGTGGAGTGCAGCTCCTCTCTCAGCTCTGAATATTTAGGAGACCACTGAGTCTACAGCTGCTCTTCAGCATCAGCACACGTGTACCCAAGCACATGTACCCGAACACAGCACAGGTAACTCCAGCTAGAATTCTCCAGAAGCCACTCCCGTTGTCAAGGGAGTGCCAGAGTGTGATCCTCACTCTTTGAAGAGGCCCAGCCCTTCACACCCAATAGACTGTTGTTGCCTTGGGCAAGAAGCTTGAGTCAGAAGGGACCAGGCATTGCTGAGTCCATCCTGTTCCCTTCTGTCCTGGCTATGCTCATAGGATGGGCATGAAGATTAGCTAGAAATAGCAGAAAGGGCTCCGAAAAAGGCCAAAACCTGAGGGTCTTGATTAAGTCTGTGGTGTTGCCCCTACAACCCACAGAAGAGTACCCTGGAGCTCCCCAAAACACATCTTTTGGAGGGCCAGGCAGTTGCCACACCTGGAGAGGAAGCACCTGCAGGCCCCATGATTGCTGCTGTATCAGTTTCGGGGCTCCAGGAAGAAGAGCAGTGGGGCTGGGCTGGGCTAGGGAGTGAGCCATAGGGCTCAGACAGTTCTGCAGGAATCCCCTGAATTTGGTGACAGACAGATATGCTCTCTGCCCAACAACACAGAATTCTAACATGTTCTAATTATTTTAATTAGTCGAGGTTGAGTTTTTCACCTTTGGAAACTTTTTGCTACTCCCAAGAACCTCATTTTCCCCCTCAAAGAGTAGGATCTGCCCCGTGAATCACAATCCACAGGTGGGATGAGGAGGGGAGAGGAAGGCGGTCAGTAAAGAGAGGGCAGTTGTGTGCCGGGGTGGGGTGGGGCCAGGGTGGGGTGGGGTAGTGGGGTGAGGGTGGTCCCAGCCTCCAGCCCTCCAGACAGGGCACCAGCATCTCTCACCGCCTCATAGAAAGCTCTCAGGAAATTGATCTCGTCCATCAGGGCATCCACCTTGGCTTCTAGCTCCACCTTGTTCATATAGGCAGCATCCACATCCTGGACACAGAACATGAGGTCATTACGAGTCCTGCCCTCCCTGGGTCGACTCTGGAGATTATCTCTGGAGCTAGGGGTGCAGCTTCAGCTCTCCCGGGAATCCATATTATTGCTGCATGCTGTTGAGTGGATCCAGAGGGATGGGGAGGCCCACATAGTTTGACCTTCAGGAGCGCCTGTCTGCTGCTCCTCAGGTAGTGCCATGCGCAAGGGTGAGCATGCCCTGTTCTGGGTCACGGGGCTCCCACTTCCTATGAGCTCTTCAGCACTCTCCCCAAAGACTGCATGGGTCCCCATCTTCATGCCTCTGCCCATTCCGCCCCTTTCCCTTCTTCTCTTTGTTGCTACTTCATTTTTCCTTTAGTTTAATTACTTCCCTCTGCCAGTCTCAAAGCCAGTCAGACCTCTAGACTTCCATTGCCTGATCCTCCTACAGCCCTGCCCAAGTATCGGCTCTGGATTCTGGATTCTGAGCTTAGGACCAGGCCCAGTTGGCTTCTCCTTACCCTGCACTGCACTGTGCACAGAGAGAGGCTGGTGTCGTGACTTATACAACTTGGAGTTGGGAGTCCTGGATCCTGACCTGCTTCTAATCACCTCTGTACAACAAACTGAACACCCAAGGACCTCAGTGGCCTCGTGTTTAAGGTCAAATATGTCTCCAAGAAGACCGAGGATTCAGTGGAAGCTCTGCCTCCCCCAGGAACCTGCAGTCAGCGAAACGTCTTTGCCGCTTACTTTTTTGAGTACTACAAACTCATTCTCTGCCGTTGTGCGTTTGTGGATTTCCTCTTCGTACCTGAGGAAAGGAGGAGAAGAGTGGGTGTTGGGAGAGGGCTTGGAAGTAAGGTGGGAGAAGTCCTTCAGCACACCCTGAATTTCCTTCTGCTCAAGGTTATGGCGGGAGGGTACATGTGGAAAGCATCCCACCGTGGTGTGGCTCCCTCATACACATGTGCCTCCGAACCCCAAGTCAAATAGCCCTGTTTCTGCAGAAAGAAAACTCCAGCTGGAAGTGCCAGAGTAGAACTATGCCAGGTCCTGTGATGTGCCCCTCCCCCACCCCTCCTCCTCTTTAGCCTGACTCCTGCCACCCTAGGCTGCTGCCATGTCCCTCGTTTTCTCAGTCACACTGAACCGTATCCTGACAGGTGGAATCTTCAGACTGTAAGAACCCTTCCCTCCCCAGCCCCGGCTGTCTCGTTCTTCAATTTGGCTGCACTGGCTCTGGCACCCATGGCACGCTACAGTACTCCCTGCCCACCATCGTCTGAGAAGGGGGCTTCCCTTCCATTTCCACCCAGGCTTCCTCAGCATCGGGATACCCCATGCTCCCTGCAGAAGCCAGCTGGGATTCATGGGATTATTCACTGTGACTGGGGAGATGCGTGTATTCCTGGGAGAATCTTTCTCTTCTCTAGTTCTCCAGTCTCCTGTGCAGGACTGGGTGGAAACACAAGCCCTATAAATGAACACTTAGTTGACTAAAAGGGAAGGTGGAGTCTGACTATAATTCTTAACTCTAAGTGTACAGCCATCTCAGCACTGTGTTTCCTATCAGCAGAAGTTAAAGGCTGCTATCTTTGGACAAGTCTTTGGACTCATATGGTCATTACCCCGGTAACCCCAGTCCTTCCTTCCTCAGACTCGAACATTCTGGACCAAAACCTCTGCTCATTTCTTTTTAAACTTCTGTATCAATTTGATTCCCTCTCATGCCCCAAATGTGTGTCCCATTCCCGTCAGATGGGCAGTTTTGGAGAACAGCGCATCCTCCTCCTTTTGCCTGACCCCCCAGGAGCCCCAGGGCAGGGTGCTGGAGCCACTGGACTGAGCACCCACTCACTTGTTCTTGAAGTCCTCCACCACATCTTGCATGCTCTTCAGCTCCGTCTCCAGCCTGCCCCGCTCTCCTCCCAGACACTCCAGCTGGCGCCTCAGGTTAGCGATGTAGGATTCAAACATGGGCTCCAAGTTGGTCCTGGTGGTTTTGTGGTCCTGCAGCAGGCTCCATTTGGTCTCTAGGACTTTGTTCTGCTGTTCCAGGAACCGCACCTGTCCCGCAAAGGTCAGAGATTGTGAGGGATTCCTTGCTTCCGCCTCTCACATGGTCTGCGATGTGGGATACACCCGCTAGTGCAGGTGGTGGCTTCCACTGCTCCCCCTGAGCTGCAAGGGACCAGGATGCAGAGACCCACGTCAGTATTGGAACGGTGGGCTTGTGGGGCAAGTACTAGGTCCAGGGGAGCTGGAGGCCATCTGATACACCAACCTTGTTGACAGGAACATCTGATACACCAACCGTGTTGACAGGAATTTAGGAAAAGAACTTTATGACTGCCTGAGCCCAAACTGATTGCTGTTACATTTGTGGGAGGCTGTGGCAGGCAAGTCTATCATTCCTTTTCCCTTCCGGGAAGATTTCTCAGGATCTGGAACTTGGACTCAACTGCCTGTGCCCTTTACAAATGTTAGTGTGGGCCACCCCGGAGCTACTCTAAGGGAACCTGGGCACAGTCCTAGCCATGCCTCTCACCAGCTCTTGAGCAATCCCCTCCCTTGAGCTGTTGTTTGGGTTTCTGGACTCAGCTCCATCTGATCCTGATTTCCTTCAACCTGAAGTCCTTCCCTTGGGAGGAACTGGAGTGCTACTTAGTCTCCAAAAATAGAAGAACAATACCTACTTGACTTTAGAGGCGGCAAGGTCCCCACAGAGGTCTTTAACAAGTGTGTCTTTCTTTCACTGTCTCCCACTGTGGGAGAGAGCATGCCCTGGTCCCCAGTCCTTCCCAGGTCCACCCACTATTCCCACACTCCCTCTAGACAAACAAAGAAAAAAAAAAACAAAGAAAAAAAAGAACAAAGAAAAGCCCAGGACCTATCTCCCCTTCGCAGCAGGCTCCCGGAAGTCACACCCCTGCTGAGATGACCCAGGCCAGGTCATCTGTTAGGACTGTTGGGACTCAGGCTGAAGTGACATCTCAGTGCCTTTCACTGTCTACTCCTCTTCCTAGACATACGCTATCACCAAGGTGTGTCACCAGGGAAACGCCTCTGCCTTGGGAGGACACTAGAGTTAGTTACCTGGGAGAAGGAAAGGGACCCAACACGCTTCCACACACCCTTAGCCTTTGTTTGTTCTTTTACCACCTTCCTTCCAAACCGTCTAGCTGAGCCTATGACGGCTGACTGTCAAAGTGGCAATGCCCTCGTTGTGGATCTTGTGGATCTGAGAGCTCTCAGGCTGATGGAGAGGGTACTTTCTGCTCCTTCCCTATCAGCAGACTGCCTAGGCCCCGGGTGCATGGGTCCTGAGACACCCCCAGGTGACCTCAGGAAAACCCAGACAGCGAGGAGTTCAGATGACAGCCGCTTCAGTGGTGGAGCCCCCGCTTGCCCCTCACCTTGTCTATGAAGGAGGCGAACTTGTTGTTGAGGGTCTTGATCTGCTCCTTCTCCTCCTTTCGAACCCGCTGGAGAGATGGGTCGATTTCCAGGTGCAGGGGGGTAAGGAGACTCTGGTTGACTGTCACTTCATGGATGCCTCCAGCTCCAGGGGCCATCCCACCTCCAAATCCATACCCACCATAGGCTCCCCCAACTCTGTACCCTATGCCGCCGACACCTAACCCACAGGCAGCACCTCCAAAGCTGGCCTGGCTGGAGCGGTAGCCCCCACTGATGGAGATTCTCTTGTTACCCCCAAAACTGTGTAGGCTTCTTGTCCCAAAACCACCCCCAAAGCTGCCTCCAAAACTCTTCCCGCTCTGGGACATGGAGAAAGAGCTGAAACCGGGCCGACAGCCAGGCAGCATGCTGGCTGAGGAGGCACTGAAGTTCCGTGTGCCCCCAGATTTGATGGTCACAGAGGAACGCTGGGTCATGGTGGAAGTTGGTGTCAAAGGGCAGCAAAGGCAGGAGCGAAGAGTCTTTAGATTTTGGCTCGCCTGGACTCACCTTGAGTTTTATCCTTTCAAGAGTTGGGCTTGGCCAGAGCAGATCAAAGACCCCTCTGTTGCGTTCACCACAATGGCATGTCTGGCCACAGTCCATCTTCCTGCCCACTAATCACCATGAGGAACTCCCTTCCCTGGGCAGGAGCGGACCTGGGAAGTCCAGCCTGAGGCAAGCCTGGCCTCAGAGCTCCCTGCCTGCCAGACAACCCACACCCCCCCCCCACTTCTTCCACCTGCAGCTTTCTCCTCCATGCCCAGCTCCCAGACTCTGGACCCCAAACTGCTCACCCCACCATTGTTGAGTCGGCACCGCTTTGTGGCAGGCCTACCACAAACGTTATTACATTGTATTTTTGTAACTTTGAGAAAATGGAAGGTAAGTCGCTGCCAACAGTACTGGGCAGTGTCATGAGCTGAAACCCACCTTCCACCTGTCAACATGGCTGTTCTCGCCCTTGGTTCCTACCTGCAGCCTTTGGCACACAAGTCACACAGCTAGGGAATGCGGCAACAAGACAAGAACCCATGCTGGCTGGGCTACGTGCCCAGAACCTCTGAACTTCTCAAAGCTAGGGAAAATGGGGTGTCTTGTCCTTCCTAAAGAGCAGTCAGAGGTCACCCCAATCCCTGCCCTCAGCTGTTGTCTTTCTTGGTCTTAGAGAATTTAACAATTGTCTCAGAGTCTTTTCTCTCGAACTGAAACCTTTACCCTCTTAACCATTCTAGATGGTGGTCCCTCATTTCTTATTCCTCTCTCCTGACTCCTGTTGTCACTGAACTCCTTCCCTAGCACAAATGGTTTCCACAGCTCTGGTTGACAGCTTCTCTCAGCTCTGCAGTGAATCCTAAGGGTCCACCATGTCTAAACAAACTTGAGCCCCACTCAGGATTAGTCCCATCATTCCCCCATAGTCTTGAGAGGAGGGGACCAGGAGACTGTAACCTCAGGAATGTGCAGCCGCTTCCTGGGCGTCTGCCCGCTGTCTGCAATTACAGGCTTATTGGCCTGGCCTCAGGGCTGACTTCTAACTCCTCTCCTGCCCTGTCATTTCGCTGCTCAGGGCTGCGAGTTTGAAGCTGTCGGGGAACAATCGGCTCCTTTGCCGGCCACTGCCTTGACCACCCATCCTACGTCAGTGCTGTCCCGAAGAACACAGGCTGATGTGGGGAGGGGCTGGCCTCGCCCCGATGACATACTGAGGAGGAGAAGGCTGGGCAAGGCTTCTGCCCAGGGGTTGGGACTTCCCAAACAAGCCTCCCAGAGAAAATGAGAGGAAGGCTGTTGGCTGCTGTCATCCCCATACTCCCCCCTCAGCTCCTTAGGAAGCTGTTGTGTCCTGAGTACCGCTTGTGTGGAACCCCGGCTGAGAATTGCCCTGGGCTCATCACCACTGCACACAGAGGGCTGAGCCAAACACGTGACACATGCATTTAATAGGCATTCCGGGAGGAGACAGAGGAGCACGGGCTCTGGCTGGCAGTTACAAGCAGCCAGAGAAGGACAAGACAGCCTGGTGTTGAGGTGGCCAACACAGACCCCATCGCTTGGCTGGAGGAAAGGGACAGGTGACGCTGAAGGGGCACTTGCAGATCCACTGACTGTGAACTTTGGAAGAGAGTGGGCTTTCGTTTTGTGTGTCTGGCACAAAGAAGTACCAGGAGCAGCCTAGAGACTGTAGGGAGGTTGCCATAGGCCAGGGAATGGGTTTAGCCAGGAGGCCAGGATCCCTGGCAGCACAGGGGGCCTCTGTGAAGAGGATATGGGAGAAAGGTCCAGACATCCAGTTAGGAGTGCGAGGAGGCTTGGCGGTAGTGGCAAGGGAGACCGCAGGCAGGCCGCCTTAGTGCTTGTAACTTTTCCTGCTGCATGATGTGGTGGAAATGAACTTGACGCTGGAGCCACTGCCCACCGGGCCCCGGCTGCTACTGGTGGTGAAACCAGAGCCTCCCAGACCTGTACCCAGGCTGTGCCCACCGCTGGTGGTGAAGGAGTAGCCACTGTTCCCACCAAGACCCAGGTTTCCACATCCAATATTGCTGCCAGCACCATAGCCACTGGAAACTGTTGAAGTGACCACAGCTGTGGAGAAGAGGGGACAGAATCAGAATTGCAGACAGGAGAGAAGGCATCCAACGTCAGAGCCTGTGCTATGGAGTGTCTGTGGCCGAGATGGTTGGTCTCACAGACATCCCCTGCTTACTCTGTGAGATACTGCCTTAGACCTCCACCTCTGCTAGTCTGAGCTGTCTTCTTTCTCCAGGCTGTCTCTACAGCACAGTGCTTCTCTTTGGGCATCTCCAGGAAGGCACTCCCCTCTTTCCTCTGCTCTACCACCGCTGTTGCTGTCTTTGGATTTGACTCTGGCATCTTCTTCCTTCTGGAAGCTCGTAGGAATATACATGCCCCTCCCCAGGAGTCCCCCTGGTGTGGCACTCTAAACACAGATGGTGGCTGTCCTGTAAAGCCCAGGGCTTTCCTGCAATAACACTTTGTAGAGCCGAGACCAGCAGCCGGCTCTCTGGACTTCTTAGAGGAGGCAGGACTGCCTCACTGTCCTGGTTTGGCACTAGTGTAAAGGGTTCTCTCCAAAGGACCCAGGCAAAACTGTCCACATCAGGTGCTCATCTCTGAGCTCTTGAAACTAGACTTGTAGCCCCATGGAATTCTGGGAGGTGGGAGATGTGGCTGGGCTTTTGAGCTTCCTGTAGGACAATTTCAGGATCCACCCCACTTGGGCAGTGGTTCACACTCTCCCTCCAGAGGGAAGAACCGTGAACCCAAAGACTTTCATCTACCTTGGGAGCTAGAGGCAGGAGAATCAGGAATTTGAGGCCAGTTTGGGTTCTATGAAATCTGTCTCAGAAAACAAAAAATTCCTCTAGTGCTGTCCCAGGCTCACACAGGTGACTCAGGTTAAACTCAATGGGAGACTCAAGCAAAATACACAGATGTGCCGGGTGGGGAGTTGGCCGGTGTGAGGTGGGGTTAGTATCCAGGACCCGAAGACAGGGTGGGGATATGTGAACATGGTCAGAATACACCAAGGACCCAGGTCCAACTCCAATACTCCAGTAAATAAGTAGATAGCACAAGCTCCCCTAATCCACGATGATTTTGTCCTTAACTTGAGCCCTCCAACTGTCTCAAAGTGAACTCTGCCTGAGGGCTCTCACAGCTGCCTCATATCAGCCCCGTCTCCTGACCACATGAGCGCCAAGCCACAGGTGTGTACTCACAGATGTTCACTGGGGAAACTCCCTCTCCGCTCAGCCTAGTCGGGAGGAGAGGAGGAAAGGTTAAAGGTTACATATGTACTGTCCAGGCTGTCACCTGACGGGCATTTTCAATACAAATTTTGTGATTGTTATTATTTATTGCAGAAGTCATGCAGTTAAAACTCTAAAAACACACAAAGTACTAAAAATAGCAAAGGAGCCCCCGGTGTGGTGGTGTGAAGCCCAGAACCTCAGAGGCGCAGCTTGGTGTTAAACTATGCCCACCCATCCCCTCCTTCCCCACCACCCTGAGGAAGTGAAAACCAATCAGATTAGAGTCCATCAAAAAGGCAGGATGGCCCCTATAACCAGATTTTCCTCTCAGTGAGGGAGTCTTGTCATGCTATTACAGGTGCGGAGAGACATCCACAGTCGTCACAATCGGGCTATTACTGTCTCAGCAACCGGCATTCGTTCCTAAATGCTCGCTCAGAGCCAACAATAGCATTTACTGAGAGTCTCTCATGCTCACGGTGCCGTTTGCGTCTCCGAACAGCCCCATTAGGTAGGTGTTATTACATCCGTTTTACAGTGAGAAATTGAAGATCAGAGAGGCTACTTGCTCATGGTCACAAGGTTTGAAACAGGGTACATCTGCCTCCAAAGCCCATCCCTTTGACCACTAAATTGAAGGAGAGCAAGGTTTTTATTTTTTAATTAAAGTAAAACTTTTTTAGGGGTGTAGTGAGACGACCTGTGGTTAAGAGCTCTTGTTCTTACAGAGGGCCCAGGTTACCATGACCCACATGATAGCTCACAATCATTTGTAACTCCAGCTCCAGGGAGATCTGGTACCAGGCGTGCTCTCAGTACACAAGCAGGCAAAATACCCACACAATAAAATAAATAAATAAATAGATCTTTAAATGACTATTTTTTAAATTATATGTCTTTTCCTTTAACAGAAAGTGATTGCTTAGACCTGCTCAGGCCTTGAATTTCTATGGGTGCAGGGCACCTGGGGTGGCTTAGCAGCCTGAAAAGCACTCTCACTGCCTAGCTCAGACTGCCTGGTAAGCTCTGTTTGCTCTGAGAACAGACCTGCACTCCTCGCCCTCCAGCAGCTTCCTGTAGGTGGCGATCTCCACGTCCAGGGCCAGCTTGACATTCATGAGCTCCTGGTACTCGCGCAGCAGCCGGGCCATGTCCTGCTTGGCCTTCTGCAGGGCATCTTCAAGGTCCACCAGCTTGACCCGAGCATCCTTGAGGGCTAGCTCTCCACGCTGCTCAGCGTCAGAGATAGCAGTTTGCAGACTAGTGCACTGAAAAGAAAGGAGGTGTTGTGAGTCCGTGGACAGAGCCCGGAGGTGCCGTGATCCATGAGAGGTGATCTTTGGAGGTGGTGGGATAACACAGAACAAATGGGAACTCTTGCACTGACTGAATTGTACCTGCTTCTTGACGCCATCAATCTCAGATCTCAGCCTCTGGATCATCCGGTTCATCTCTGCGATCTCTTGCTTGGTGTTTCGCAGGTCGTCGCCATGCCGACCAGCTGTCTGTTGCAGCTCCTCATACTGGTAAGAGCAGACACGGGCAGTCTAGTCAAACTCCTGTGAGGTGAGGGAAAGCCACTCACCCTTTCCCTCATTCATCTCCAGATGGTTTTTCTTGAGCCCCTCTGCTCTCTGGGGAGGCAGCAGACTCTGGGAGTGGTATACAAAAGCAAGCTGACCCCGGTTTCCAGGCACTTATACTATTGCTCAATTTGTATCCAAAAGAT